ATGCCATTGAGGTAAGCAAAAAGGTAAAATGGAAACAGCTACGCGAGGATGTTAACAAAAATCCCTGGGAACTCTGGTATAAAATATGTAATTTTGAAGAAGCTCGGAGCTCGAACCAAGTCACCTGACTTAAACGCTGCTAAAATAGATAGCATTCTTATCGCGATCTTTCCTACGTACGAAAAATGAGTCAGTGAACAAGAACAGGCTATACGACTGCCGAGAATCTCCCAGTTCACTCTGGCGCTCAAAACTAAGAAATCGCTCAGCCCAGACAGGATCTCAGCAGAAATATTCAAAACAATCGCCTGAGGACGACCTGCAGTACTCTTACACATGCACAACGCCTGCCTCAAAGCTGGCATGTTTCCTGAAAATCGGAAGAAACAACGACTTGTCCCAATATGCAAGGGAAAAGGGGATCCCAGCTTGTGATAAGTATACCGCTCACTATGCATGCTCGACACAAGGGGAAAACTCTATGAAAAACGACTTAAACATAGATTGGAAGCGGCTATCCGTGAATCTGGCAGACTCTCCCTCAGACAGCACCGCTTTAGACCCGAGAGGTAAACTCTAAGCGATATCCGAAGCGTCATTGAAAGTGTAGAAATTGCACGGCATAGATGCACCAAATATAAGTGAATAGTTCTGTTTTTAGACGTGATGGGCGGATATGATCAATACTTTAGAAAAAAATTTAAAATACCCGACCTTAGTAACAGAAATTACTGTACCATATCAAAGAGGGATCACGACAAATAAAAGTTACGTCAAGAGCAGCACGAGGGTCTATTTTAAGAGCAGATCTGTGGAACATTGGTTGCAGAATACTAAAACTTTAAATGCCAGACGAAACATATTTAATCGGCTACGCGGCCCAAGACACTGAGGAAGCCCGAAAAAGGCTAAATCAGGTCATGAATGGAACGAAAACTTGGATTGACGCACATAACCTCCCTGCTGACGAACAAACACATTCCTCTCATAATAAGCATGCAACGTCTAAGGATAATCTAAGGTCTCAAAAAGCTTTGTATTACCTACCCCTGATTAACCTTCTGAATACAAATCTAGTACGGCGCAGGAAAGGCAGCGAAAATCACCTCCTATCTTAGCAGACTAATAACAAACATGGAAGGGCTCACAAGGAAGAGAAAGCTCTTAATGTCGACAACCACTAGTGTCTTACCATACGGAGCAGAGATCTGTGCAGATGTGTTAAAAAAGGGAAACCGATGCATGGTATGGGCTCTTTAGTGACCTGCATGTCGCACACTCCATTGCTGTGGCGACAGCGCTGATGGTGGGGAAGGCATTTTCCAGCGCGTCACACGCAAAAAAACTAAATGACCGCCATTCACAGTGGAGTTGATGGCACTTCAAACCACAACCCACTGCAGACGAAGGGCTCAAATTGCCGCGAGAAACGAGAGTAGTTACCCTTGCGCAGCTTTGTTCTGGATACTGTAGCAGGTTTAACTTCTACCTATCCAGTATAGACTCCGACATATCCAATATATGTGCTGCCACCTCTTTGCTTACCCCTCCAACCCCACTCATCTGACACCCCTCTCCCTTTGGTCCGATCCCGTTGAAACAGCATGTTACTTGGGTCTTCCATTGGATGACTTCGACGACAATTTAGTTAATCCTTAACATCCTAACGGGGATTAGACAGCAGTTAAAACAATAACAAAAACAACCTGATATCAAGGCAAAAAAAAAAAAATATCACAGAAATCTTAACCTAAAAATTCAAAAGAAAAAACCATTTGCATCCAAATATAAATATCATATTTATTGTTGTTGTATTTATGTACATTTAATGGCATACACATACATTTAAATACTTATGTAATTGTAATTACTAAATTTCACTATATCTTATATTTTATTATATTATTTATGCTCTAATTATACGTACATGCATTTTATATTTGTTGTGGTGTGTAAACTATTTCAACAAAATATTAATACTTCGAGTACAATATTTTGCATTACACACATACATATATTTAAATCATATAACAATTTACATATTATTATTGTATTTCTTTGTCTTTTTTTAATTTTTTTTTTTGTGTTCACTTTTCTTTTAGCTACCTCTTGACTACATTTAATTCCATTTATACGTGCAAATTTCTTATCAGCTAATGACTATTATAATTAAGTTGCCTTTTTGATGTCTGCTTTTTATGTGTACATATGTATGTATACACTTAATATTAAATATGATTCATACATTTCACTTAAGTTATTGTTTGTATTGTCAGTATAAAAAGGTTCGGATCGCTCATAATACGTAAGCAGCACGTATGCAAATATGCCGTTAACAAAGGAAAAAAGTTTGAAATGAGGAAGGTACATATATAATTTACTTGTAAGTCTGTATGTACTTAGGTGTACTTATATATTAATATATGTACATACAGTATGTATGCAGATAGAAAAGAACTCAAAAACTCCGCACACAATTCAACTAAGTTTGCCTAGGACTACAGTAATTTACAGTTAGAGTTGTATATACAAATCTTACTAAACATTTATGATATGCTATAAAATTTTACACTATTTTTTTCTAATAGTTTTATGTATTGTATATATGTTGCAACAGCAGTTTCACTAGTTATTGCTAATAGTAGGAGTTAAGGAAGAAAATAAAAATAAAAATCTTGACAAATAACATACTAAAATCGATATTTCATATAGTTTTTGAGTTACTGCCTTCTCAAGTACTGACGCTCAGTTTA